TTTTGGTGCAAATTTAAAAATTTCTACATTAACATTAATAAAAAAATTATCTTTAAACGTATAAGAGAAAATTTTTGAAAGGACTTAATTTTAAATGAGTTCTTCCTAATTAACCAGTTTTACATATTCGGCACGGGCATATATATATATATAAATATATATATATTTTATATATATATATATTTTATATATATATTATATATATATATTTTATATTATATATTTAAAATTAATGCAATAAGATCACAGTAAACAGGTGATATCAGAATATGTAAAACAACCACTGTGAAAGGATAGTGAAATTCCAAGCGCCTCCAGCATTCTCCTTGTCGCAACATTCACCCCCATGTTTCACACACATGTAAGACGTGGTATAACTATACTCTATACATTTCCCTCTTTGCTTCCATAGACATAATCCTTTGCTCCATAGACTCCTAAGTGCACCACTCACCTTTGTCGCCTAATCAGTTCTATGAGTCACCTCATCTCTCATAGACACATCTGCTGACACGTCCACTCCTAAATATCCGAATCCATTCACCTCCTCCTTCTCTATCCCATCAATCTGATATGCATCTTTCATCACTTTAATTTTTTTTTCCTCACACAATGTATACTACCGTGGGGTGTGTTAGCTACCTGGTCGAGTGTGTTAGGCTACCGTGATGTTGTGTTTAGTCTACCAGTTGTGTGTGTTAGCTACCGGTTGGTGTGTGTTTAGCTACCATGGTGTGTGGTTAGCTACCGGTGGTGTGTGTGTTTAGTTACCGGAGTGTGTAAGGCTACGGGTGGGGTGTGTAAACTACCGGTGTGTGTGTTAGACCTACCGTGGTGTGGGGTGTTTAGCTACCAAGTGGTGTGTGTTAGCTACTGGTGGTGTTTGTAAGCTAACAGGTGGTGTGGTGTTACACTGGGTGTGTGTTAGCTCAGTTGGAGTGTGTTAGCTACCGGTGTGTGTGTTAGCTACCGGTGGTATGTGTTTTCAACCGGTTTGGGTGTGTTAGCTATCTGTGAGGTGTTTATCCTACACCGGTGGGGTGTGTTAGCTATCGTAGGGGTGTGTGTTAGCTACCGGTGTGTGAATGTGATTAGCAACCGGGTGTGTGTGTTAGTCTACCGGTGGTATGTGTGTTAGCTACCAGTGGAGTGGTGTTAGCTATCATTTGTTGTGTTACAACTAGTGTGTGTGTTTGCACCCCGGTGGTGTGTGTTAGTTACCAGTCGTGTTTGTTGTTAGCTACCAAGTGTGTGTGTTAGTTCAGCCAGTGGTGTGTGTTAGCTACCAGTGGGGTGTGTAGCTACCGGTGGGGTGTGTTAGCTTACCGTGGGGTGGTGTTAGTTACCGGTGGTGGTGTGTTAGCTACCAGTGGTGTGTGTAAGCTACCTGTGAAGGGTTGTTACTACCAGTGGTGTGTGTTAGCTACTGTTGGGTGTTTTTTAGCTACCGTGGTTGTGTTTAGCTACCAGTGGGAGTGTTAGCTACCGGTGGTGTGTGTTTAGCTACCTGTGGTGTGGTGTAAGCTCCCGTGGTGTGGGTTAGCTACCGTGGTGTATGTGTTACTACCAAGGTGTGTGTAGCCACCGTGTGGGAATGATAGCTCCCAGAGGGTGTGTTTAGCTACCGGTCGTGTGTGTTAGTCTACCGGTGATATTGGTGTTTACTACCAGGGGTGTGTGTTAGCACCGTGGTGTGTGTTTTAGCAACCAGTGGTGTGTGTTTAGCTACCGTGGTGTTGTGTAAGTTATCCGGGAGTGAGTAAAGCTACTGGTGGGGTGAGTAAGATACCGGTGGTTGTGTGTTAGCTACCGGTGTGTGTGTTTAGCACCAGTGTGTGTGTTAGCTACTGGAGGTGTTGTTAGCTACAGGTGGTGTGTGAAAGCTACTGGTGGTGTGTGTTAGCTACAGGTGGTGAGTGTTAGCTACTCGGTGTGTGTGTTAGCTAACCGGTGGTATGTGTTATCCTACCGGTTGGTGTGTTAGCAGTCAGTGGGTGTTTATTTTATCTACGTGGGTGTGAGTTAGCCTATCGGTGGGGGGTGTTGTTAGCGTACCGGGTGGTTTGTGTTAGCTACCGGGTGGTGTGTGTTTAGCTACCGTGGTGGTGTTAGCTACCGGTGGTGTGTGTTAGGCTACGCGAGTGGGTGGAGTGCTAATCGACCGGAGGTGTGTGTTAGCTACCGTGGTTGTGTGTTAGCTAACCGGTGGGGTGTGCTAGCAACCGGGAGTGTGTGTTAGCTACGGTAGTGTGTGTTATCTACCGGTGGTGGTTGTCTAGCTACCGTGGGTGAGTAAGCTACCGTGGTGTATGTTGCTCTACCGGTGTGTTGTTAGCTAACCGGAGGAGTTTTGTTAGCTACCAGGTGGGGTGTGCTGCTACCGGTGGTGTTTTTTAGCTACCAGTGAGGTGTTGTGTTAGCTACCGGTGGGGTGTGATAGCTACCGCGTTGTGTGTGTTTAGCTACCGGTGGTGTGTGTTAGCTACCGGTGGGGTGTGTTTAACTCTACCGGTGGTGTGTGTAAGCACCGTTGTAGTGTTAGCTACCGGTGAAAGTAGTGTTAGGGAGATAAAAGATGTATTTTTTTACGGTGCATTTGAAAATGGTGGATGATTCTGCAGTACTAAAGTTTTCAGCAGTGAGTTCCAGATTATTTAGGCTCCTTTTATGTACATTGAATTTTTTGTAATAGATTTAGCCGACACGGAATATGTCATAAACGATGTTTTTGACTCTTATTATGTCTATGTGGCCTGTCATAACAACTGTCAAAAAGTGTTTTAGTTTGGAAGTTAAATCTGAATTTATGGTTCTGAAATGTAGATTGCAGAGTATAAGTAGATGATGTTCTGAAGATTGAGTAAGGTTATACATCATTCGAAAATGGGGTGGATTGAGTGTTGTCCCCCCTATGCATTGATTGTGTGATAATTCTTACTGCAGCTTTTGTTATGTCATTATTGAGCTTTAGGTTGGTAATGCTACTATCCCAAAGGAACAACAAATGGCATATGTGAGGTATGGATAAAAGTGAATAGTATATGTGAGTAGGGCTGATTGTGCTACGTAGTAACTTATCTGGAGCAGTTTTGGATACTTTTTTTTTTGTTAGTGTTTGATTAAGCGTGCGGAAATTCAGGGTGCAGTCAAGAGTCGTCCCCAGGAATTGCCTCATTATGCTTAGCAATAAGGAGTAATACTGTCGTCTTAATGTCGAGTTGTGCAACACCTGCTCTTTACCAAACAGAATTAGAAGGAATTGTTCCAGTGTTAAGTGTAAGCATCTTGCAGTCATCTAGGTTGAAATTTTGAGAGCTCTTCGGTTAACCATGGGTGTTGGTGCGGCAAGATTTGGGTGGGAGATGACGTAAGTATGATCATTACCAAGAGAATTGGTTTCAGGTGTTGTGATATGTTGGGAAGATCATTGATGAATAAGCGGAGAAGCAGCAGGGGAACCAAGGACACTTCCTTATAATTCAAGTGGGTCGTGATGATAGGTTGTGTCTTTAATGGAGACGTATTGATACCTGTTAGTAAGTAGGATTTGAATATGTAAGTGCATGGCCTCTTAATAACCATATTGGTCAGTTTGTGGAGTAGGAAGCAGCGTACGGACTACTGTGTCAAACGCTTTTCCTTACGGTCAATACACAGTCCATAACAAATATTCCTCATTTTCCAGTGCTGGTTAAAGCATGTTTAGCATTATAACAATTGCCTCGTTGTGCTTTTGTATATTCCTGACGCCAAATAGGCAGGGGTTGAGTATGCTATGTGCTGTATATAAAGCGAATATAGTCCTCTTGTCACGAGTTTCTCGAAGCTTTTGGATAGTACCGGTATGGGGGGGGGGGGGGGGGGAGTTTGTATTGGCCTGTAGTTTATTTACATTTGTAAGGTTCACTACCTTTGTGAATTGTGTGTAACCCTTTCTGTCTTTCAAGTGACAGGGAGATCTAGTTTCTAGGATTTGTTTAAACAGTAATGTAAATAGCAGGCGAAAGGGCAGAGCCGTCTCGCCTGTACAATAATGGTGGGACTTGAGACAGGTTCCCTGTATATTTTTTAAGTGACTTGATAATCGAGGTGACTTCAGTGGAGCTCGGGAGGTGCAAGATAGAAGGAGAATGGGAAATTTCCATTTAAGAGTCCACTTGCTCGAGCATTGGAACCTGGGATTTTACTGGCGAGTTTGATCTAATGGTTCAGAAAAAGTCATTTATCTTGTAGACCTGTATCAATAGTCTGTAAATTGTGATTCATCTTTGGTTTAGGTTAGAACAATTTCCCTGTTTTTTTTATCAGATTGTGGGTATCAAGAACCTAGAGAGTGTTTTTTCCAGGTCTTTTTATATCTCCTCTTGTTTCGTTAATCTGCTGAGAATAGTATAATTGCTTGCCTTCATATCAGTTTGTGAGACTGATGCCATAAGTGTTTAACAATATCTGTTTTCCCTGAGGTAACTGTTATTGTCTTCTCTGAGGAGGAGGGGTCCCCATTCCACTATAGAGGTGGTACTTCCTATATATTAAAATATGTATATATGTATAAAATAAATATATATATATATATATATATAAATATATAATATATATATATATATATATAAAATATAAGATATATATATATATATATATACGTATATACGTAATACCCACCTCTGGAACTGTCCTAGGGACCCTCATCCTCAGAGAAAAGAATAAACTTGCTTCAGGGAAAACTCAAGGTTCTCCCAGAAGCTGTTTGAAAATTTTCTCCTACTATCCCTTATATTTTACATATACTTCATTTAAAGACAAAATACATATTTATGTATATATGTACATACATACATATGCAAAGATTATATTAGAATTTTTGTAAATATTCATTTAGTTATTTCCTATTGCAACAATGATTCATAAGTAAAAGAGATCAAGCACAGTATTGATAAAATAAATAGGATAAATAACTGACACCAAAGTAACCTGCGTATATAACTAGATTCTGTACACAGGTGATCCTGAGTAGTCACAAACACCTGGAGAAAAGTCGTGATTACAGTTTTCTGCACCCCTGGCTTGGCACCGGTCTCCTCACTGCTACAGGTCAGTATTTTCCCATGTTCTTGCCTCATATATTTAACCATTTGTTTACTCTTGCACTTATTCATATATTGTATTTACATATGTACTTGCCCTATTTACTCATGAACTTGTTCATGTGTTTTCTCATGTATGTGCTTTGCAAAAGCTGCATATTTAATGGACATCACAACTCAAATTTAATTTGAATTGTGTGATGTCCATGTACTTCAGAATAAACAGTCATGGGGTTTAAAAATTTCACAATAAAAACCATTTTCATGAAGCACTGGAGAGAAAAAGATAAATGCATTCTGAGTGTAAGCAAAAGTGCACATGCCATGTAATTTCAATATTACGCTAATTCAACTCATGGAAAGAGTGGAATTCAAACTTATGCCTGATCAGTTCTAAAACTAGCAACCCGGTGCGCTGCAAAAAGTATATATAAATTGAGAGAAATTCTCCTTTTAATTCTTTTAGGTCATAGGCCTTTTGTGTATCCATCCATTTGCTCTTACGCTACCATCCACAGAATGGATGTCGGGGCGCACAATAAATTAGCCGCTTCTGCGGCAAAATAAGAAAAAAATGTTGCATAATAAGATTCAATAAACTAAATAGATTTCTAGTTATATTTTGCTAATATTCCTCGTCATCTTTACATTAGGAAGCAAGTGGCACTCTCGCCGCAAGCTGTTGACTCCAGCCTTCCACTTCAAGATTCTGGAGGATTTTTTGGAGGTGTTCAACAACCAGGGTAACAAGATGGTGCAGAAGTTAAAGCAGAAGGCAGATGGCAAGCCTTTTGATATCTTCCCCTTTGTTACGCTCTGTACCCTAGATGTTATCTGCGGTAAGCTCTTTATGTATATCTAATGTTGTAAGAAAATAATGGCAGTATTGGCAATTAGCATCGAAATCCATTGGCGTTTATTGTGAAAAGGACCTTATTCTTGTTCTTGTTCTTGTTCTTGTTTTTCTTCTTCTTCTCGTTCTTCTTCTTCTTCTTCTTCTTCTACTTCGTTCTAGTAATATTATAAATATTATTATTATTCATTATAATTATTATTATTATTAATATTATTTTTTAAAAAAATAAAAAATATATAATTATTATATTATATGGGGATGCACGAAACCAGGAGGGGTCAGACAGCGCTGAAGAATGAGTAACAGTCAGGCTCAGTTCAACGATAGTGAGGACAATTCCAGTTCCTCCTTGCATCGAACCCTTTCACTTGCCTCAAGAGAACCACATCTTGTATCATCCTCTTATCTTGCGTCCCATGAGCGCCATCATCTTGTATAAGAGCCATAGCGCTGCATCAGAAGCTCCTCATCGTGCATCAGAAGTCCCATTTGTATTAATAGCCTCTTATTATGCATCAAGAGCCCATCATCTTGTATCAAGAGCCTCATCTTTTATCAAAACCCCTTATCTTACATCACGAGTCCCTCACCATGCATCAAAAGCCCCTCACCTTGCATCAAGAGCCCTCACTTTGTAGTCTTGATGCAAGGCTCTCATCTTGCATCAAGAGTCTCTCTCTCCTTACATCAAGAGCCCCTTATAGTGGAAGGTTTAGTCTGTCTGGTGGGCGATAAATAATACTTCTTGGATTCTCTCCGCCAGCCCAGCCTGGAGGAGAGAGAGAAGGCTTTTGTTGACTGTAGACTGTCTAATAGGTAAGTGAGAACCCAGGGTGTTGTGGGGTGAACTGAAGGTAGGCCTATGCCCGCCGACAAACGGTGTGGAAAATATCGGTATTTTCCAGAACCGTTATGTCCACCCCCGAGGTGGAGGAATGATGGGAAGGGGGGACGGCACCTAGAGAGGTGTCAATTCTGTATTACTCAATTACTAAGAAGTAGTAATACTACTTACATATAATTATGCTAAGAACATAAGAACATAAGAAAATAAGAAAGAAGGAACACTGCAACAGGCCTACTGACCCATGCGAAGCAGGTCCATGCCACCCACCGGCCTAGAACAATGACTATCTAGTCAGGTCACTTCCACTTAAGGAAGGAGCACGGCACCAGACCTGGTAGCCCAAGCTGGTCAGGTCCAACTCACACCCACCACACCCACCATGTATTATCCAACCTATTTAAAACTACACAAGCTTAGCTTTCTTATGACGGTACTCGGCAGTTTTTCCACTCATCCACAACTCTATTGTACCAAACCAGTGGCTTTCCTATATCCTCCTGAATCTAAACTTTTCCAAACTGAAACCCATTGCTGCGAGGTCCAGTCTCGGCTGGGATATTTTCGAGCAGCTATTTACATCCCCTTTATTTATTCATTTATCCATTATACACCTCAATCATATCCCCCCTAATTCTAAACGCCTTTCTAGAGAGTGCAGATTCAGGCCCTAAGTCTGTGTCCTCATAGGGAAGATTATCTGATACATGGGATCAATTTGTCATCCTCCTCTGTACGTTTTTTCCAGTGCATTTATATCCATTCTGTAATATGGTGGCAGAACTGTGACATCAATAATTTAAATGAGACCTAACCACGATCTATAGAGATAAAGAATCACAACCTGAAGACTTCAATTATTTAGATTTCTTGATATGAAGCAAGGATGCTGTTAGCTTAATTGCGAAACACTTATGCACTGTTGTTTGTTTCAGATTACTGCTAACCAGAAATCCTAAATCCTTTTCGCAATCAGTAGTTATTAAGAATTATACCTATTCAGTTTATAATGGCAGGGTATTGTCCAGTCCAACATTTAGCATCTTTGCATTTGTCTATATAAACTGCATCTGCCACTTCTCCGACCACTGCTCAGTCTATTTGAAATCATCCTGGAGTCACTAATGTCCTCAACAGAATGAATTGGACGCCTTTTTGGTGTCATAAGCAAATTTGCTTATTTGCTATTTATTCTCATCCATCAATGTCGTTTATGTAAATTGTGAAAGCAACAAGGGGCCCAACACGACCCCTGAGGAACACCGCTTGTGGGCGTGCCCCTATTCTGATTTCACCCCCATTTTATGCAAACTCTATGGCTGCCTATTAGTCAACCATCCTTTACCCAGGAAAAATATTTCTCCTCCTATTCCCGTGTGCCTTAATTCCTCAAAAAGTATCAGATGTGGAACTCTATCGAAAGCCTTACGAAGTGCATAGACACAATAACATATACATTACCATGATCTACCTCCTCATACACCTTAGCTAAAAAAGTTAGTAAATTCATAAGACAAGAACGCCCCTTAGTAATACCGTGTTGAGATTCATTTAAACAATTTATACCTATCCAAGATGCCCTACGAATTGCCTCGGCACTTATTGATTCCATAAATTTTCCCACTATGGAGGTAAGGCTTATTGGTCTATAGTTTGAAGTTAAGGACCTCTGTCACCTGCCTTGTAAATAGGTAATACATTTTGCCATTTCCACTTATCAGGCACTAGCCAGTTTGTAGTGATATGTATTAAGATTAGTCAAAGATTTGCAAAGTTCCTCTTTACAATCCTTTAAAACCCTTGAAAACAATCATCAGGCCTTGGAATTGTTATTTTAGTAATCTCTATATTGTGTCAGAGGACCATGTCCACTAGTTACTGCAATCGTGCTATTTTATTATCGTCCCCTGTTAGTCTAATTTATTGTTTTCGGGAATTTCGCTAGTATCTTCCTGAGTAAAAACGAGAGGAAGTTAGAATTGGAAAATTTCACACATATCCCTTCACTGTCAGTGACTGACCTGAGCTACTCTTAAGTGGCCATCTTGTCTCTAATCTTACTTCTGTATACCTGTGAAAGAACCCTTTTGGTTAGTCTTCGAATCCCTTGTGGCCTAACCTCATAATCCCTTTTTTACTTCTCTTATTCCTTTTTATTTATTCCTCTCTTTAATATTAATATATTGATTTCTTCACTGTCCATCCCCCCCTTTGATACGCTAAAATATACCTTCATTTTGACCAATGTAAATGTTTTAATGTATTGTTCATCCATATTGGAACATTATTGATAGATCTAAATCCCTTACATCTGAACCAAAATTGACTGAGCAGCTAGAAACTATGTCTTAAAAAATGTCTTATTAGTAACCAACACCAGCACCTGAACCATAAAGTCAGACATCCAAATTAGCCCACCTCAGGAAATATTCTCAGTCCCATGAAATCAGCCAATCGAAAAGTCTGGTAAGCGACTTGATTGCAGTTTACTGGGTAATTCCAGTAATATAATTGTGAAACGAAAAGTGAATTTGTGATCACTTTCCCCCAAGCTCATCAATAACGCTCAAGATATTATTAGTGAATCTTGTTGGCAAGAACCAAGTCAAGCAGATTTGTTTCCTCTAGTTGGTTTTCTGTCACAACCTGGTTTTTAAAAAGCAATCCTGAACCGTATCAAAAAAGTCACTAGACTCAAGATTCCTGTCAAAATGTTCCAAATCAATTTGTCTAAAGTTAAAATCCCCCCCATTAACACAACATTTTCGTAATCTAGACGCTTATGACTATTCGTCCCTTAGCAGCTACTGCACTCCCTAATCAAGGCTTGGGGCTATATATCACACCCAAAATTAATTTTTCTCTCATGCCCCTTCGAGAAAACCTGTAGCCAAACAGATCTGTATCCGATGTTTTTTCTATCTTATATTATTCTAACAAAACAATTTAAAAAAAATAATCACTGACATACCTCGCCACTTCCCACCACCCTTCCTGTTGACCCTATCAGTGTGGAATAGTTTATAACCCTTTATGCTGCATTCAGAAGGCATTTCTCTGTCCTTCAAGTTGAACCAGGTCTAACTTAGAGATAGTCGTTAGCTTACTGTAGCATTATATGTCCCATACATTAATTAAGCCGTAAGCACCCTCAGCGCGCCAATTTGAGCGCCCGCTGGGTCCTGGGCGAGTCAATCACATTTCAGTAGCGAGACGGGCAACTACCCCCACACGAACTTTGCGTGGTGAACACAGACGTACAACCCACGATCACCGCAAGCAAGGGCCTCATTAACTGAACCAGGCAGTGTTATGACTCAACACGTATTTCCATTTATCACCCGCCCCAACACTGCCACGTGAGTAGTATTATGAATGCATTCATGTGTACACATGTGTAGAGGTGGCACCCGCACGACCAGAAGTTGCCATAACAGCTGCCTGTCACAAATTACACTGCCTACTGTGAAGAATAAAGCTTAGTACACATTGACTGAGTTACCCTGAAGTGGAGCAGCAAGCTTCAGTACTGAATCCGACAAATGAAACAAGGGACTACTATCCCTACTCAGCTGGCCGGGGCCAGACACACTGCCTTTAATTAACTACCCCACAGAGACGCAGAACCAACTAGTGGCATGGCATGAAATAGAAGAACGCCTATGTGAATTTTAAAAAAAATAAAATAAGGAAAATGAAAATTCTTTATTCTCTGTTGTATATTACAATGTGGGGTTTCATATAAAAAACATATTGCATATATAAAATACTTATACAAAGAAGGCCACAAGTATGCCTAGGTAGGCCTAACTAAGCTATTTCGGGTGGAGTAATACTATTTCTACTCTATATTGTCACAGGTTATCGGATCATTCAGAATTAAAATGAGTAGCTGGAGTGACTAACTAAGATTTACAAAAGTGGAGGAAGCTCAAAAACATTTAAAAAAAAACATAACAATTTAAACTAAAAAAATTAAAAAAAAAATTAAAAAAAAAAAAAAAAATTAAAAAATGAAAAAATAAAAATATAAAATTAAAAATAATTAAAAAAATTTAAAAATAAAAAAAAAAAAAAACAAAAAAAAAAAAAAAAAAAAAAAAAAAAAAAAAAAAAAGAAAAAAAAAATAAATAAAAAAAAATACAAAAAATATTAAAAAAAAATTATATTTAGTAA